CCCCTTCTATTGAGTTCTCCCAGACATGAATGAGGGACCTCGGAATGATCACTGCTATTTTTATTATCATGGTCTTGTTCATCAGCTGAACGTCAAATTCCTACTTCTCCTTCTAGTCCCTATTAGGCCTCAGCGACAAACCTCCCGTCTTTCCCTGTCTTCCTCTGACACTCTCTTAGCATTTTAAAGATACCTCCGTTGTTGCCATTAAATTCTTGTATTTTAATTTATATTTAACTTTAATTCTTTATTTTTATGACCAATAGCAAGTTTTAATCTCCAAGAGAAAGACATTGTTATTTTGCCAGAATGACCATCCCTTTGTCAGAGCCCCATGATATGGCCGCTGACTTCCCCTAGAACAAAAGATCCAAGGATAGATAGCATGGCAGGGACAGGAATTCCTTTTAAGATCTAGTGTCAAGATTCACGCTCATTTCTGCAACATCCTGTTGGTTACCCAGTTTGGCCCTACCTGGTTTGTGATGGAGCAACTTAAGGACATGAACAGCAAGAAGCATGAATCATTGGGGGCTGTCTTGCACAATCTTGAGGCTGGTTAATACAATCTTGAATGAGGGGGGAAAAATCACATAATTGAATTCCTCATAGTCTTTTTAACCCCAAAAGTTTCTTTACTATAAATTGTTCAACTACATAAAAACACAACACAGAAAAGTATGGAATATGGCCACCTAACCACAGGTCCCTGTCATCCTCCTCTTCCCAAGTTTCAGTAGACTTGTACATTGTGCTCGAAACTTTGGGACTTCATAGAAGCTCTGGAGAAGTGAGTTAGGGGTTTTCATATACTATATACTAGGTAGGAGACTAGAAATCTCAGGAGGTAACCCCCCACCCATAAAGACAAGTCTTAGGTCCCAAAATTACCTTAGTTGTCAAACATGTGAGAAGCTCTTCAGGAAGCCCAGCACCTGATTGTGAGCAATTCTGGGAATCTCCCAAATGTAGGTACACGGCTTCTCTGTCATCTATATAGAGCTCTGTGACACACTGAAATGACATGAGACCTTACTGGGGAGTTGAATGGCATCCTTCCTGAGAAATATCATCAGCCCTCTTGAAAAAATTCTTTTACTGGAGATCTTTGGATGGTAAGTGACAAAAATCCACGCAAACATATTATTGTACCAATTAATCGAATTCTAGAGATGTTAACTAGCCTCGGAAAGACTAAAACCAGTACTCTCTAGCTTCCATTTCTCTTCCTCTTTAAGCATCAGTGTATTTTACAGAGTTTAAGTCTCATTCGGCTATAACTATAGCCAACATTGGCTCCTGGTTTTTATTTTCTCAATGTAGTGACCGGAAAAAGATGGCTCTTTCCTCCTGACCCAATCTGAAAACAAAACAACCTCAAAGGACTCTCCTTCACTCAGTTTGGTCACATGAGCACCCCAGTGAATCAGCGGAGCTATAACTAAATGCTATAACTCAGTTATATTGGGTTCATTTCTGAGAGCAAGGAACATACAAGAGTCCGTTCAGAATACACATTATAGTAGAAGTAGTTCTCCAAATGAGAAGGCATGCAGTTCCCAAAAGAAATGAGAGCTAATTGACAGACAAAACGAGGGCCAACTATGCCTCCACCCTAAAACATAACAGCTGTCTACATACTTGGGAATGCAGGATCTGGGAAATGGATGGTTGCAAAATAAAAAAAAAAAATAGCTATTTTAATATTTTCACGGACTTACCCAGTATTTACTAGGACTCATCTCAGTGAGTCATCAGTTACTGATGGCAAATTAAAAAAAAAATCTCTTACAAGAATATATAACTTAAAGAAAATCAATGCATACAATAAAAAGATCAGCAGTTGGGGCACTGGGTGGCTCAATTGGTTAAGTGTCTGCCTTCAGCTGAGGTCATGATCTGAGGGTCCCGGGATGAAGCCACATCCGGCTTCCTGCTCAGAAGAGAGTCTGCTTCTCCCTCTGTCCTTCCCCTGGCTCATCTTCTCTCTTTCAAATAAATAAATAAAATCTTTTAAAAACCCAGAGGTTCAAAGAAGATCATTTTGAGCATTTTATAGTGAGTTACTATAAAATATAAAGGTGTAAAGGAAATTGGACCACTGAATTCAAAGCTCAGTTGGAAGAATTATCTCAAAACTTACAGGAAAAAAAAAACAGTAAAATGAAAATTATAGAAGGAAGGACATTAGAAAAATAAGATAGAATCAGGACATTAAACAGCCAATAACACTTTCAAAGGCAGGGAGGAAAACAGACTAGAGCAATTCAAAAGAAAAAGAGGAAATTTTCTCAGACCAAACCAAATATTAGTTAAGATTTATGAAATTAGGCTCATTACTACACATATGGAATGATGGAATGGCTAAATGTCAAAAATAAATGAATCTTACAAATGTGCAGAAATATTTTATAAAAAGTTACCTAGGAAGAAAAGGTAAATGGGTACATATCACCCATATACAAGCTTTGTTTTAGTGATATGAAGAAAAACTCATCCATTCACCAAATATTTATTTAAACTCCTATTAAATTCATACGGGCTGTTTAGCAGCTGGAGTGAATAGTGAACAAACTAGATAAAGTCTCTGCTCTAGAACTTATATTCTAGTGGGACTAAAGGAAACTGCAGGCAACGCAGGAAAAGCTTGCTGAGATAGATAATTTTGTCTGGGTAGGGAGATTTTGTGTTTCATCATATTTTGTTTCATCATATTTAAGAGGTGATGCTACATCTTTTATTTTTTATTTGTTCTATCAATTAGGATTAGGTTCACACACATCTACAATTGAATTAACAGAGGTTCGTATTTCTCTCATAGAGTCTACAGGTAGGTGGCCTGTGGGCACAGTACAAGGTCACTCCACAAAATCTTGAGAAATCCAAGCTCCTCCATCCCTAGGAATGTACCCTGTACCTACTACACACACATACACATACATGCACACACACACACACACACACATGCTCCCCAAAACTATTTGGGGAATCCCAAGAATCAGCGTGTAACAGGTATCCCTGGTGATCCTAATGAGGTGGTCTTTTACCCACCTGAGAAATCCTGGGGGAGAGGAATGAGGGAAAAAATGGTGAAGTGAAACCGAAAAACCAGGGAATGAGAGGAATAAAATTACTTCCAAGAATCAAACTACTATATCAATAGTTACTGAGAGTAGAAATATACAAAGTTTACGAAGGAAAGCTAAACCACCCGTATTTGACAAAACCCTAACTTTTAGATATTTTCTTATCTACACAAATAGTCCACATGAAGGTGAATGATGCTCAGCAAGTCCAAAGGCGCAATGGGAGCAGCTGGAAGAGTCTCGGAGGCTTTCCCAAGCTGTGACACCTACATCTCGTCGCATGCCTTTTTAGAACTTCTCCAACCATTCTGCTGTGAAAAGTTTGGATTTACTTTCCTTGCTTCCCTGTGAAACACGTCAGAGGACACTTTATCATTTTAAGTTAGTTTTGCACCATCATGTCTTAGAAACTTAGGGGAGGCGAGGCAATATTAAAGGCTGCAATGAGATCGTGCTCCACCAAGGAGCTAGGCCAAAATGCAAAGTGAATTTGGCGGGTCACATCCTCACCTCCATGCCCCTCGGAAGGGAAAGAGGAGGCAAAAGAAAGGACAATGTCATAAAGCCAGGTAAATGGTGGCTCATGTCACTTTGTAACATCTACTTCTTCACAAAACTACGAAATCGAGGAGTTGGCTGGTGTTCACCGAGTGGCTTTTGAAAGTTCCCATCCCTGATCCTGTTCAGAAAGCAGATCCGTCTGAATGGCCCGGGGTCCCCGGCTACGGTGGACTGCAGGCCATTGCCCTCCTGCCCTGGGAAACCTTCCCGGGGAACCTCCCCTGTCCGCTCAGTCCTATCCTCCTAAATTGCTGGTTAAGGGCAGCCCGGGGGGCCCAGCGGTGGAGCACCTGCCTCGGGCCCAGGGCGTGACCCCGGGTCCCAGGATCGAGTCCCACGTCGGGCTCCCTGCGTGGAGCTTGCTTCTCCTCTGCTTCTTTCTCTTTCATAAATAAGTAAACAAATCTCTTAAATAAATAAATAAATAAATAAATAAATAAATAAATAAATAAATAAATAAATAAATAAATAAATTGCTGGTTAATTTCCAAAGTGTTCTGTAGCCTCCCGGTGGCCCACAGGGGGTGTCGGACTGTGGTGCGGGAGCCTAACCCCGCCCGGACTCTGCGCGAGTCCCTGGACGCTCCGGGCTTGGCACGGTCACCCAGAAAATGACGCTTGTCGCACATTTGCTAAATGCCCGTGGAATTTTTAAGTGTACGATCGGGATTGAAGCAGAAGCAGGCTTCTCGGACACACGGACGCACGGGGCAGGTACTTCCTGCGGGAGGCCTCCGGCCGGCGGGGGGAGGGGCGTCACCGAGGCCGCCTCGGGTCCCGCTGACGTCCTCCCCCCCCCCCCGGGGCTTTCGGGGCAGCCCAAGGGCGGTGACACTCGGCGCCCCCGCCCCCCATGCTCTGTGGCTACAGCCCCGCACCCAGCCCCGGACTCAGCCCCTAACCCACTCCCACACCCAGCCCAGCACCCAGCCCCGCACCCAGCCCAGCACCCGACCCCCACCCAGCCCCGCACCCAGCCCGCACCCAGCCCGGGGCGGCTGCAGGGCCGGGCTCGCGCTCCCCCCGCCTCTTCCCCGCAGGTGGCTCCTTCCTCCCCCCAGGCCGCGCGGCTCGGAGGGACCTGGCGCCCCACGCTGCGGGGGTCACCGCGACCTCCCCGCCCCCGCCCCGCCCCGCCCCCCTGCCCCGCGGCCGCAGCCCCGCCCCTCCCCGTAAGGCCCCGCCCCACGTGACCCCCGGCGCGGCCAATCAGCGCAGCCCCTGCGCAGTTCAAACCCGCGGCGCGGAGGACGGTTGCGCTGGGCCCGCCGCTCCCCGGCTCCCCCCGGCTCCCCCGGCTCCCCCGGCTCCCCCGGCTCCCCCCGGCTCCCCCGGCTCCCCCGGCTCCCCGGGCCCCCGCCCCCCGCCATGCCCCGCGGGGCGCGCTGACGGGCGGCATGGAGGGCCGGGCTGTGCCCCCCGGGCCGTACCGGGCCACCAGACTGGTGAGTGCGCGGGGCGGGCTGGCGGCGCTTCTCCCCGGGCTTGTCCGTCGGGGGGGTGGTGGGGGGGGACCCGGCCCGCGGCCCTGGCGCGCCCCGAGGGCCCGACCCTCCCACGGCACCGCTCCCCGCCCGGCCTAGCCACGCCCTCGGGCCTGGGCCCCGGAGACGGACCCGGTACCCGGGGGTGGCAGAGGGGGTCGGCCTGGGGGACAGCGGGGGGGGGTGGGGGAGACAGCCCGGGGGGGGACCGCCCAGGGGGGACAGGCTGGGGGGGACAGGCCGGGGAGGACACCTGGAGGGGGACAGGCCGGGGAGGACACCTGGAGGGGGACACCTGGAGGGGGACAGGCCGGGGAGGGGCAGCTGGAGGGGGACAGGCCGGGGAGGGGGCAGCTGGAGGGGGACAGGCCGGGGAGGGGGCAGCTGGAGGGGGACAGGCCGGGGAGGGGCAGCTGGAGGGGGACAGGCTGGGGAGGACACCTGGAGGGGGACAGGCTGGGGAGGGGGCAGCTGGAGGGGGACAGGCGGGAGGGGGCAGCTGGAGGGGGACAGGCGGGAGGGGGCAGCTGGAGGGGGACGGGGGGGGGGCAGCTGGAGGGGGACAGGCCGGGGGGGGGGCAGCTGGAGGGGGACAGGCGGGGGGGGGTGGGCAGCTGGAGGGGGACAGGCTGGGGAGGACACCTGGAGGGGGACAGGCTGGGGAGGGGGCAGCTGGAGGGGGACAGGCGGGAGGGGGCAGCTGGAGGGGGACAGGCGGGAGGGGGCAGCTGGAGGGGGACGGGGGGGGGGGCAGCTGGAGGGGGACAGGCCGGGGGGGGGGCAGCTGGAGGGGGACAGCCCAGGGGTGGGACTGGCCGAGGAACACAGCCCAGGGGGGACAGCCCGAGGGGCACAGCTTCCGCCGCTGCACCTGCTACCTGGAGGCAGGCGGTACCCACCTGCTCTGGGCACAGCCGCAGCTTTTAAAACTAGGCGCAGAACCACAGTCCGGCCGCCCCCCCCCCCCCCCCCGCCCACTGCGGGAACCAGGGTCGCCCCCTCCCCACCCCCCCGTCAAGAGCCAGCGGAACCAGGGTCGGGCCGGCGGCCGCGGCTGATGAGCAGCGCTCTTGTACTCCTCCGGCAGGGCAGGTCTTTGTGCGTGGACATGTTCAGTCCAAGAGGGCACAGTGCCCCTGGGTAGGGGCCCTAGAGGGTGACCTCACTTCCCTGAGCCTCAGCTTCCACATTGGTAACGTGGGGCTCGGGACGCCCACGCCCCATGGAGGACATCCCGGGAGGACACCGTGAGCAAGGGCCTCGTCGTCTGTGGGTCCCAGGCTGAGCCACAGCCCCGTAGGTTTCTGGGCGAAGTAAACGTAGCACGAGGAGGTGGGAAGGAAAGAATTCTGTGTTTTCGACTCAAATTTTGTGCCGTGGGCGTGGGGGCCCGTAGTTCAGATGAGTGATGACATAGCTAGTAGGGGCATAGTTGGGATTAGAGGGCAGAGGTCTTGACCTCTAAGATAGGATTTCTCCATGAGAGTGATGCCCCCCCCACCACTACCACCTTGGTGCTCCTGGATTATCGCTGCCGCAAACCTGGAAGTTTGAGTTATTTGAGGGCGATTTGAAAAATAGGAGTCTCTGTTTTTCAGATGTAGGTACATCACAGTGTGATTCAATATGCAATGGACTTAAAACTGACTTGATTTACCTGTGTGTTCTGTGTTCACTATTGGAATCTTCACATAAGAAATGCTGTAGTAAATACACAAGTATTTCAACACTAAAGGTTATTTTATCAGTAAAACTAATGCCTGCCATGATTTTTTTGTCCAGCATAGTTGTTAGGAACGCAGGTTGTAGAGTCAGTGGAGCCTGGGTTTGAATGCCTGGATTCGTCACTTAGCTGTGTGACCTTGGTCCAATTATTAAATCTTTCTGTGCTTCATTTTCCTTATGTATTTCCTTATTAGTACCTATTCGTAGAATCGTGAGAATGAAAGTGAACTAATGAATGTAAAGCAGTGTCTGACACAAATGCAACTAGCATTTTACTCATATTAGTTGAGGTTTAAAAAAAAAAAATATCTTCTCTGTTGAAGACTAAGAGGCAGGTCATTGCAGTCCTTCATTATTTGCAGGTTTCCTAAATAAGCCAACTAGCCCAGGGAGTGCTTTTTAGTCAAAAACTATTATAAAGAAACACTAGTACAATACTAGAATTAATAAAGAAAAATCAATACAAGGCACAAAATTTTCTGTAGTAAATAGGATGAATGATTTCTCATGAATTTTTATGATGTAATCAGATGAAATAAAATGATTTTCTTTGATTTGTTTCAAATCGGTAAGATATTCTTTGTTAATTTTAAAATCTATATATTTTCTTTCTGCAGTGGAATGAAATTACCACATCTTTCCGAGCAGGAATGCCTCTACGAAAACATAGGCAACACTTTAAAAAATATGGCAATTGTTTTACAGCAGAAGAAGCAGTGGATTGGCTTTATGACCTATTAAGAAATAATAACAATTTTGGTCCTGAAGTTACAAGGCAACAGACTCTCCAACTGTTGAGAAAATTCCTTAAGAATCATGTAATTGAAGATATCAAAGGCAGATGGGGATCAGAAAATCTTGATGACAACAGTCAGCTATTCAGGTACTGAACAGATAAATAATTTGCAAAACTGAATTATTTGATAAAATTTAACTCCACTTCCATAATACTTTTCCCAAAATTGCAGTTTTTTCGGAAGAAATAATGTCTTCTTTATAAAACTTACTGCTCTTAGTGCAATTAAAAGCACTTAGAAGTTAAAGTTAATTGCTATCATAAATAAATAAAAAAAAATTTAAAAAAAAGGGATCCCTGGGTGGCGCAGCGGTTTAGGCGCCTGCCTTTGGCCCAGGGCGCGATCCTGGAGACCCGGGATCGAGTCCCACGTCGGGCTCCCGGTGCATGGAGCCTGCTTCTCCCTCTGCCTGTGTCTCTGCCTCTCTCTCTCTCTCTCTCTGTAACTATCATAAAAAAAAAAAAAAAAAAGAAACCTTTAAAAAAAATAAATAAATAAAGTTAATTGCTGCACAGTTAAGACTTTTAAATGTTATATGTTAATAAAATAACCATTGGAACGAAAAAGAATGCGATATTATCACTTCTACATATTCTGAAGTCTATAACATTTCAAGAACAAATTGTTATTAACCTTTAGTTTCATAGATTTAAGAACCATTGGACAAATTTTCACAGGTCCTTGTATTCAAGTAACATACAACCTTATATAATCTAAGAATACATGTGGTTAAATAAATAATAGCAAATTTTTATTAAGGATTTACATGTATCAGAAGCCCTGCTTTACGATTTACATGTTTTCTTATTCAATCCCTGGATAGTTAAACAGGATAGGTATTAGCTCCTTTTTGGGTGCTATGAGATGAAGCCCTGAAACCAGGCTTCATTAAATCCTGTTAGATGGCTCTGACATAGGTTCCTCCACCTTGAAACACTTAGACCTTTGTCGGGTTACTCCCCTGCCCTTGCTGCTGTGCCTTTCCCCGTGGAGCCTCTTGACTGCCTCAGGCCAGCACAATTGCTTTTTCTCTCACGCACACGGGACACAGGTCACAAGGTCCTTGGATTCTTAAACCCCTGCATTTTTTTCTCTGCAAAATTAGTCCTGTTCAAATGAAATGTCTTGGAAGCTGATTCTTGCCTATGTATCAAAGATGATGTACGCTGGACAACTAAACTGCAATAACAAGCATATGGACAGTTCATTTTGGGTAACTCTACAAATCCGTCCTCTCTCAGCTGCTGCTCAGTGGCCTCTGTGAGCGCCTTTGCTGTTAGTCATCAGTTGGCTGTTGCTGGTTCTCAGGGTCCCAGGCTTACCTTCGCTTCACCTCTCTCCCTGGGCAATCTCTTGCCATGTCTTCACCTACTCTCCTTATAACTTTCAAACTTCCAACCCAAATATATCTCCTGGGCTTTAGACCCATTGTTTGCCCATTAGGCATTCCAGATATAACAGAAAAGTCAGTGTCATCTCTTAACCTAAATTTGTCTTCTTACGTCCACACCTAAGTGAATGGCACTGTCTCCCCTATAGCTGCTTTGATTCTTTTCTTCTCCCCTTTAAATGATATTTAATTAACAAACCATGTCTGTTGTACTGCTTCAGTAGTTCTCTATCTGTCCACTTCTCTCTCCACTCTGATGGTTCTTTTTGTTAGACCATTTTTCTCTCTTACCTGGAATTCTCTGTAATTCTTCAACTAGTCTCTCTGCCTCTAGTGTTTTACATTGATAACAAAATTATAAAGTACTTAAAAATAAACTTTACCAAAAATGTGTAAGGCCTTACCGGACAAAAGTATAAAATTATATTGAAGGTAGTAAGTGGAGGAAGATAGCCTGTTGATGAATCAAAAGACTTACTATCATAAATAAGTCATTTTTCCACAGACTGACATGTAAATTCAGTGCATTTTCATTCAAAACTCCATTTAATTTTTTTTATAGAGTTTGACAAGCAGATTCTGAAGTTCATTTAGTAATATAAAAGTTCAAGGCTATTTTGAGGTGAGGAGGGGAGAATTGCCCTATTTGATATCTGGGCTTAAAGCAATTAAGTACTAATAAAACAAACCCATACATATGGTTGATCCTTGAATAATGCAGGGGTTACAATTACTGACTCCTTGCATGGTTGAAAATCTACATATGACTTTTGACTCCCCCAAAACTTTACTAATAGCCTACTGTTGACCAGAAGCCTTATTAATAACATACATAACCAGCACACATTTTGTATTTTTTTTAAGAGTTTATTTATTCATGAGAGACACAGAGAGAGAGAGAGAGAGGGGGCAGAGACACAGGCAGAGGGAGAAGCAGGCTCCACGCAGGGAGCCCGATGCGGGACTCATCCCGGGCCTCCAGGATCATGCCCTGGGCTGAAGGCAGCGCTAAACTGCTGAGCCACCTGGGCTGCCCCATTTTGTATGTTATATGTATTATAAATTGTCTTCTTACAGTAAAGGAAGCTAGAAAAAAGAAAATGTCATTAAAATCCTAAGGAAGAGAACACTTCTATCATACTGTACTATAGACTTTTTAAAAAGATTTTATTAATTTATTTGACAATGAGTTTCTACAAGTAAGGATTGTTTTCTGAGATCTACATAGGTATAGTTAACACCTTGTACTTTGTGCCAACCACTGTTTCAGGCATGTTTATGTATATAATGATTCTCAAACAAGCCTATGAGATCTATACAAGCCATTCTCCAACGCAGCCTTTGTATTGTCACTCATCACCTAAGCAAAAGAGAACCTTCAACTGAGAGAGAGCACAAATGGGGAACGGCAGGCGGAGGGAGAAGCAGGCTCTGCACAGAGCAGGAAGCCCAATCTGGGGCTCGATCCCAGGGGCCTGGGATTGTTACCTCAGCCGGAGGCGGATGCTTAGCTGACTGAGCGACCCAGGCGCCCCTACTATACTGTAATTTTTTTTTAATTGTGTACAAATGAGCTGCACTGCTCAAACCCATGTTCAAGGATCAACTGTATATGGGAAATTAGTATAAGTTATACATGGACTAATACCTAAATATGAAGGCCACCTGGGTGGCTCAGCAGTTGAGCATCTGCTTTTGGCTCGGGTCGTGACCCGGGGTCCCAGGATCGAGTTCCACATCAGGCTCTTTGCAGGGAGCCTGCTTTTCCCTATGCCTGTGTCTCTGCCTCTTTTTGTCTCTCTCATGAATAAATAAGATCTTTAAAAATAAATAAATACCTAAATATGAAAATGAAACTCTTATGAAGGAATATAAAAAAATATTTAAAAAAATATTTTTAGGACTGTGGAATAGAAAGAATTTCTGAAATCACTAAAGACTTTTGCATATTTTTAATGTGTAAGGTACAATACACCAAACCCTATATTATGTATATTAAAAGTATAAAAACATGGAGCAAGAAGGAAATATACTAACCGCAAGTTAATGGCTTCCCTAAAAAAGAGAGAAAAATAGAAAAAGCAAAGAAATTCTTTGCTTTTTCAAAAAATAATAACGAAGTCTTTAGTAAAATGTTAGCAATTGCTCGATTGATGATTACATACGTGGATGTTTATATTGTCTGTACTTCTTTGTATCTGAAATATTTTATTATACTGGAACAGGGGGAAAAAGCATTATAATCAAAAAGAGTAACAGAGACAAGGCCTGGAAATCAGAACAGGCAACAAAACCCAGAAAATATTTATAAATTAAATAGCTTATCAAAGAAATCTAGAAAATGTAACTATTCTTCAACAGAATTGATCCAAATAACTCTGAATTATTCAGATATAAAGTTAAAATATGTATGTACAGTATAATAAGGTAAGTAGGAAACAAAATATTCTTTAAACGTTTACTGGGAAAATCGATTTATGTAGAATCTTTATTCCTTGAGAATATAAATAAATTCAGTTCTTTTTGTGATTTATTTTTTTTTTGATAAACAGGCGTTAAAAATCTGTTTCTGATCTCACGTTATTTAAGTGCATATTATTCTCACACCAGATTTCCTGCAAATTCTCCGCTTAAAAGTCTTCCACGAAGGCATCCAGAATTGAGAAAAAACAGCATAGAAAACTTTTCCAAAGATAAAGATAGCATTTTTAAATTACGAAATTTATCTCGTAGAACTCCTAAAAAACTTGGATTACATTTCTCCCAGGTAACATATCCATTTTACTAATTACTAATTTAAATATAATTACCATGTACTTAATTATAAAATCATTAAAAGTATATAAATCTTTGAAGCCAATACTGAAGTCTCTTAACCTACATTATTTTCCAAAAATATGTGTATAATTTTATCGTGCAACAATAGAACCCATAGGAATAATAATAAAAATGGTAGTGAAACATAGTTGAAATAGTATTTGTATAATTTAAGACTTTTTTTTTTAATTGATTTGAGGGTAGTAGGGGCAGCTACGAGTGAGAGCTCTATTACCGTATGTTAACATTATTTCTCCAGCTGACACCTGCTTATAGCCTCACAGTATACTGTTTACCAATAGAATTAGGAAATACTAGGAATTACACCAGCTCAGGATTTTCTTAATTCGAGCATAACCTATTAAACCAAAGTAATTTTTTCCAGGAAAATACAGAGAAAATGAACCATGAAATAATCCATGAAGATCAAGAAAACTCCGTTGATAATAGAGAAATAAGCCGAGAAGATGTTGAGGAAGTTTGGAGATCTGTTATTCTGCTCTAGTAAGCTAAAACTAAGCCCTAACAAAGTTCCAGAGGTGTTTAGTATGTTAATTTGACATTTTTATCAAGATATACAAATGCAGAAAGGCTTAGAATGTAACCCAGATGTGTTTCTTAATGAATATTCTTGCTGTAGTTCTAGTATAATAGAAATAGAATGTTTTCAGTGTGGTTTATTTTTTCTTTGAATCAAAGCTATAGCTATAGTTTGGGGTCTTATTTTGGAATCCTTTCAAGGATACTAAGATAAATATATTTGAAAATGGATACTAACTATAAACCTTGTAAGTTTGGTTTAAGAGAGAAATATTCTGATGTCTTTGTTTGCCATTCTTACTCTTTCATATTTATATCCTATTCCACTTAATTTTATGGAGAAAAAGAAGTTTATATTGTTTCTTCTGTTTAGCCTGCAAACCATTTTAGGCGTGCCATCCCTAGAAGAAGTCGTAAACCCAAAGCAAGTAGTTCCTCAGTACGTAATGTACAACGTGACCAATACAAGCAAACATGGAATAGTTATACTGCAAGACAAATCAGGTTGGTATCAATGACAGAAGTGGGAATCTTTTAAACTTGCCAACAGAGATTGCAGCTCTAGGAGGGGGGGCAGAGAGACTAAAAATATAGAAAGCACAATACTTTAACTGAGAGACCATCGAGGGGAGATTGTTGTTTTATCATAGGTGCTTTAGTACTCATTTATTTTTTAAAGATTTAATGTATTTACTTGACAGAGAGCACACAAGCAGGGGGAGCAGCACAAACAGAAGGAAGGGCAGAGGGAGAGGGAGAAGCAGGCTCCCCATCAAGCAGGAGCCCAGAGTGGGGCTCGATCCCAGGACCCTGGGATCATGACCCAAGCAGAAGGCAGGCATCTAACTGACTGAGCCACCGGCGCGCCCCTTTAGTAATCATTTTAAGGGAAAATTATTCATACCATTATTTTAGCTACTGAGTGGTATTTATGCATAAATTTTTGGATGGCAGGACTAGACGTCCACAAGGTATGCATATAAAAATCATTGATTAACTACATTTTAGTGAGGACCCCCAGTGTATCAAGCATTATGCTAAAGATTTAGTGATAAGAGAGAAATGGTCATGCCTTCCTGGAGCTTACATGAGTAGTTACATATAAATTTACGTGGTCAGGACATACATGCAAAACTGAGTTAACACACAATAAAATAAGCCCAAAGTCTCAAAGCTGATATTTTAAAGATTACTGACTTTATTACATATACTTTTATAATGTATTAATTTTAGGTATAAGGTGGAAAAATGAGGAATATAATTCAAGCCAGATGTGCTACAAAACTTAGCATTTCAAGAAATGGGTCAGTAAATCTCAAAGTGTTGCCTCATTTTTTTATGATCAGTTTGCTGCCTGTAGAATTAACTGCCATGCATTACTTGAGTTTTTTCCTGTTGGCAAGAACAAAAAGCAAAAACTTAAGAATTATGTTGCATATGCATCTGGCTCTGGTCCAGTTCCTTCTTTCATTACCTAAAATCACATACTTAACAGTATATTCTCTTATTCAGACTTTCTGTTTTTTATAACTGTAAACTTTTCAAGTAAAGTATGGCTTTTATGTTGGCATCAAAGAACTGCTAGATTTTATGCAGCATATTTCAGGTAGTGGCTAATGGAAGATTTAACAAGTAAGCGTCACTGTGGAAGCACCCTAATACTCAGATTTTTAATCCTGGTAACATGCATATATATATACATATGTGAGTATATGTGTTTGTGGGTATAATTAGTGTAAAGTTTTAATATACTATCAAAAATAGTGTGATTTACTAAACAATATAATTTTTTTTGTGTAGACGACCTTCCTCACTGGGTGTTATCTGCCATGAAGTGCCTGGCAAATTGTAAGTTAAACAAGCAAAATATGTATGTGTATATATATGTTCTCTATTCATCATATTTAATAAGAAGTAAGGGAATTTTAAAAATAATTTATAGAGGTCCTGATAAACTTAGAGTTTGCCAGTTTCTCTTGATGTTTAAAGGACAGTCTAGTGGAACTGATTATATTTCTGTGCGTGTGGAATATGCTGTAGAGTCCTTCGCTTTTTCTCTGCAGATGGTGGTTTTATAACTCAAGCCCATCATTTATGGCTCAGTTTTCATAAATCATAAAATCACAGGCTAGTGGATCTTAACGAACTTGTAGATGTAACCCACATCTGTTGCCTTAGTGAGAGTTCAAGAAGCAGCTTGTAGGTAACGTGGCTCTTAGAAGCCGGAAAGGTTCCACCAGAACTAAAGTCGCGTGCAATCCGCCTCAGCCCCGTTGCCACTTTACGAGGCTTCTGCACTGAAGTGCTTCATGACATGCTTGTAACTCCGTAAGGCCTATTAATGGGACTTTTATGTTTATGGGGGATAAAATGATCTGTCACTAATCAGCAGATCTTTTTTTTTTTTTTTTTTTTTTAGCATTTTGTTCATCAAGCTTTTTCCATAATGATCAGTGGTAATTGATTTTTGAGACCCTAGTTCAAGTACCAAACACTAATTGCTTTAAAATCTATTTTAAAATTATGCAGAAATATGTGCTTCTAAATCATCAAAAGTTAAATTTATGTGTTGATAGTTTTGTTACAAAAGGATTTTTCCAGTTCTTATGAAATGAGTGTTTTAATAATGTTCAAGATGGGTATATATTCCCTTGTTGTCCACTGGGTGTCAATATGACAAAATAACAGAATTAGTAGCAATACAGTAAATAATGTAAGTGAAAGGAAGATTTTATTTATCAAATTGAGGTTAAGATTTTAACTGTAAGGTCTCCTACCTTGGCTCATAGTTTGCCACTCAGATATTCACACTTTCAGGAATTTCTCTGACATCCCATGTTGAGGGATTTCTTTTTTTTTTTTTTCCTTCCCTTTCTTACTAGTCCATGTTAAACCTAAATGACACCAAAGATACAATACTAGATTCCAGTTTAACAACGTATCTAGCCATAGGTAGTATTTAGACTCAGTTATTATTTAATCCCCTATGGTAATCCTGTAACATATGGGAATCAGTGATTAATATATTCTCCCCAGTTTTTATCTAGAAGAGAAAGTAAGGTTTTTGAAAGTCTGATCTATAAAGAGTTATGGATTCAAACCTAGATCCTCTAACTATAAACTGTATTTTTAATTCTAGTAAAAGTGTTTGGTCTTAGAAAATTTTGTACTGATTATCAAATTTTTTTATTCTACATATTAATAATTTTTCTTATCCTCTTTAAAAAGATGTTTATTTTGCTCTACACAAATCCCTATCAGCCTTTAAGCTATTAAATGTGTAGGATTTGCTTTCTTTAATCCTTTTCCAGTGTGTCTAACATTTGTCTGGTGATACAGAAATTTGAAGATAGGGACGCCTGGGGGGCTCCACGGTTGAGCGTCTGCCTTTGGCCCAGGGTGTGACCCCGGGGTCCTGGGATCGGGTCCCACGCTGGGCTCCCTGTAGGGAGCCTCCTTCTCCCTCTGCCTGTGTCTCTGCCTCTCTCTGTATCTCCGATGGATAAATAAACAAAATCTTAAAAAAAAAAAAAAAATTGGAAGACAGAGAAGTTGAGTTGATTATTTGGGTTTGGAAAGGGAAAGATTTTAACTTGAAAGATAGAATAGTGACTCTCAAAGCTGAGTGTTTCACAGTAAAGAGGGAAGCCAGCCAGAGATTGATTCCTTAGGCAGTTTCATTCAGTTGATCGAACACACCTCGGAAGATTCTTACAGTGAAGATTCCCAGATCAGCTTTTGGAAACTACTAAATTAGTGAGCCAGAAGCTAACGTTTGTAAGTCAGTAATTATTAGCTTCACCTCTATGAATTCTGATCCGTACAGGGGAACTTCTATTATTAATAGACCCCAGAGCCCTGGGTCTTGCTGTCACTTTACACTGCTCTTGAGTTCTGGCTCAAGCTTTGCCACCAACGCCTCTTTCATCTTAGGCAAGTTACTCTGAGCTTCAGTTTTCTCATCTGTAACATGAGGTCAGATCTTACTCCTCAGTAAAACACTAACTAGCAGGCGTGATTCTTTCAAGAACACTAAGCTAATGAAATGGGAATGTAAAGACATTATCTAAATCAATGGATGCTTTGTGTCAGGCAAAATTTGTTCATGAAAATGTAAATTTACGAAAGATAAATTGGAAGAATTATTTGTATTATATAAATATTCTTTGTTTTATAAAATGAATTAAAATAAAATCTTATTAAATAACCTTAATGCTTTAAAATATATTTCAAATTTTGCCTTATATACAGTTTTCAGGTCTATAAATATTAAAATGCTAGTAGTTGCTTGCAGTGATTTCTAATGAAAACATAGTGAGAAAGAATGAGATATACACAACTCTAAAGTTTTGAATTGTGACAGAATTTGTTAAACTTTGCTCTCTCATGGGGTAAAGGTTTTGTACTTTTTATAAGTATATTTAAATTTTTATTTAAAATAGGCTTGTCTGCGTGGCTTAGTGGTTGAGCATCTTTCTGCCTTTGGCTCTGGTCATGACCCCGGGGTTCTGGGATCGAGTCCCACATTGGGCTCCCTGCATGGAGCCTGATTCTCCCTCTGCGTGTGTCTCTGCCTCTCTCTCTGTGTCTTTCATGAATAAATAAATAAAATTTAAATAAATAAATAAATAAATAACAAAATGAAATTTTATTTAAAATAAAATATATTTTACCTATTGTTTTTTGCTTCCTATTTCTTAGGGCCAAGAAGTAATGATCTGAATAATCCAACTTATGTTGGATTTGAACGAGATGTATTCAGAACAATAGCAGATTATTTTCTAGACCTCCCTGAACCTCTGCTTACCTTTGAATATTATGAATTATTTGTAAGCATTTTGGGTATGTATGTATTTTTACTTATTATTTAAATTTGTTTTATTAACATTTTCAAGTCTCCCATAATTTAAAAGATCTAAAAGTGTAGGTAACTATGAAGGTGGCATGCTATGAATTTTTTTTTTCACGCTATGAATTATTTTAAACTTTGGGAATACTTTGGTTCCTGTTATGTTGTTTTCCAATAATTCAAATATGTCATCCAATATTTGTTCTCCATATCATTTATGTGTCCTACAATTCACTTCATTTCTGACACTGACTACCTATCAAAGTTAGACCAGACGCCACAAGTTAGTGACAAAATCATCCAGTCCTGATAATAACCACCCAGAGTTAATGCAGACTCTACAGATGAAAGGCTCAGCTCCACAGAACTGCCATCCATTCAGGTACCAGGTATAAATGAGGTCCACAGGGTTACACACACTGCAGCCCAACTAACTACCAGTTTGGGAATTCCCACAACATTCCTTGGGCTTCCTAATTGATTACAACTCACAGAACTCTGGAAACTGGTTTATTTATTTGATGAGTACCAGTTTTTATAAAGGATACAAGTCAGGAACAGCCATATGGAAGGAGTATACAGGGCAAGATGTAGGAGTAAGGGCTGTGCAGAGCTTCCACGCCGTCTCCAGGAATGCCATCCCCCCAACCATGTCCATATGTTTACCAGCCCATAAGCGCCCTTAGTCTTGTTATTTCAGAGTTTTTATTGAGGTTTAATTACATAGGCATGATTGATTAGATCATTGATCATTGGTGATTGTGCTCATTCTTCAGCCCACATTCCCCTCTCTAGGGAGGTCTGAGGTAGGCTGAAAGTTCCAACCTTCTAGGCAAGACCAGCCCTAAGTTACCTCATTAGTATAAACTCAGGTGTTTTCAAATAGGTGCATTATAAATAACAAGAAACTCCTATCACTCTGGAAATTCCAATCATCTTATGAGCAGTATACCAGGTACTAGAGACAAGGACCAAATATGTAAGGTTTATTATATTGTAGTTGTCTTATGATTAAGCGCTTTCTAATACACATAGACTGAAACCAGTTATTGTTTAATGTATTTGACTCATAATTTAGATTGTTGAAATAGATTTTAAAGTTATTTATATCACAAGTTGGAAAACCTCTAGCCAGTCTTGCACTTTGTAACTGAATGTTGCATGTGTCCTATTTAAGTGGCTTCTGAATTAAGCAACTGCTATTTGTACTATACTAACAAAGTATACTATAGTGATGCTTTATTTTTTTTTTAACTTTACTATTGTTTTATTTTTGTCCACCATCACACAGTTGCATCTTAATTTTTGTTTCATTTCCTGGTAGTTGTTTGTGGCTACGTCACAGTTTCAGATAGACCCAGTGGGATACATAAAATCCAAGATGATCCACAGTCTTCAAAAATCCTTCGCTTAAACAATTTGAATTCCTTCAAATCAACTGAGTGTCTTCTTCTCAGTCTACTTCATAAAGACAAAAACAAAGAAGAATCAGATACTACTAAGAGACTGCAGATAAGTGATCAAGGATTTCAAGAAAAATGTGCTAAGAAAATGCAGCTAGTTAATTTTAAAGATAGAAGAGCCAGTGCTAATGATATAGTGGGAGGAAGTTGTCATAATTTAATAGGCTTAAGTAGTATGCATGCTCTGTCCTCTAACATCAAACCAAGGTGCTATTCTTTAGAAGGAATTACAGACTTACCAGGGAGTTCAAGTAAAGAGATCTTCAGTGCCTTCCATCAATCTGTTCTGAATATAGGACAAAATAATGAGCAGCTTTTAGAGTCTAAGATCAAACAGGAATCCCTAAGGAATCTTCATTCAGAGGAAAGTAATCAGAAGTCACACTCTGTTGGTTTTAAGAGAACCTCTACTTTGACTGTTGAAGACCAAGAGGAGTTGTGTAATGGGAAATGCAAGTCAAAACAACTTTGTAGATCTCAGAGTTTACTTTTAAGAAGTAGTACAAAAAGGAATAGTTCTATCAATATGCCAGTGGCAGAAATTATCATGAAACCAGATCTTGGACAAGGCAGCACACGTGTGCAAACAGCTATGGAAAGTGAACTCGGAGAGTCTAGTACCACAATCAATAAGAGACTCTGCAAAAGTACAGTAGAACTTTCAGAAAATTCTTTACCTCCAGCTGCTTCTGTGTTGACTGGCACACAAAGTAAGGTTGATGCTTTCAATGCATGTGATATTAACGTTTAGTGTTTACTAACTGTTCTGTTTGCCTGTCTTTTCTTCTCTGAAACTGCTTTATATTTTTCCTGCAAAAGGAAAAGTTTTTCTTGTAAAAGACTGTCATGGCACAACCAATATTTATTCTACTTACCTAAAGCACTTATTTTCTTTTACTTCATTTTAACTTCAGAGTCACTTCATTTGTAGTAGGTAAAGGATATTAATTAATATTCAAATAGGTCATGAAGAAAATAATGAGAATCTTACCATGCTATTGAGGAATGTGGAAATTTCTAGGAATAGTTAATTATTATTATTATTTTAGTATTTATATAACTATTCTTTATGTAATTGTGTTATGCTCATAGTGTGAAAGCGACTGGTGTCATTGATGATTTCTTGCGGGGGTGGGGTGTAATTTTGCCTTCTAGGTTTGCTGCAACCTCATTTAGAGAGGGTTGCCATCGATGCACTACAGTTATGTTGTTTGTTACTTCCCCCACCAAATCGTAGAAAGCTTCAACTTTTAATGCGCATGATTTCCCGAATGAGTCAAAATGTTGATATGCCCCCACTGCATGATGCAATGGGTACAAGATCACTGGTAAGTTGATTTCTTAAGGAAAGAATAAGCCCTGGTTCATACACTAAAAAAAGAAAAGAAAATCATCCAAAAGTACTACCTGAGTGGTACTGTGGTCTCAAAATCCTAGATTCTTAGGATAGATAGGCTCTTAAAAGTCTGTTTCCTACCAGCAGAATGTTGGTGCATTAATCCTTTGTGCCCACTATGCTATCCTTTCATATCCTGATCTTTATCTTGTCTGATGGCTTTGCCTCTTCACTCCTAACACTTGATAATAATTGACCCAGACTCTGACCATATTCCACTGCTTTGTGCCAATTCTGTTCAGTGGAGAAGGAAAAGGAGATACAGGCACAGTTAAAAAAGCATAAGGGCACCATACTCTGTGAAGGAGAGAATTAATAGGAATATTGTGGTAGTGGGAAAGTTGTATTTGATGAAATACATGAATTAGGGTAGCACATCACTGTGGGCAAGAAATTGGGACAAACTACTGTGAAGCAGCTTCAGACTCCATAAGAGGATGAGAGTGGAAGCATTTTATACAGATATTGATTGGAAATGAGCTTAAAATAGTATCTAATCTCTCTCTCTCTCTCCTTCTCCCTCTCTCTTTTCAAGAGCCGCCACTCCCTCGGTGCAGCTTAAAATGGTGTTGCTGCAGCGAGGAATCTGGAGCTGAGCTCTGTTCTCATTAGGGACGGCTCTTTAACGATGATAGACCCGATGTAAAGAGGAAGAATTATTCTTGGGTAATTGTGACACCATTAAAAAGCAGAAGAGGAGTTTGTAGGGGAATATATTTTAAGAGACATGATTAGTAAGGAGATAATTTCAGTTTTATACTTCTTGAGTTTGAGTTTATACGACATCAACTGAAATTTATCCAACAGACTATTAGGAACGTGAGCCTGATGAAGAAAGACCAGGGCAGAAGGCATTGTTTGGAGAGAGGTGGTAGTTGGAGCTTTGACAAGAAATGAGCTCTAAAGCTAGGAAAGAAGAATAAAAAAGCTGAGGACTGAGTCTTGGAAGGGGAGAGGTATAAACGTCTGATGTGTAGGAATAAAACCAAAAATATTTCAATTCAATACATGGGTTCCTCGTCTATTATCTACAAAATAGTTAAAACAGAATTCTGATAACTATTTTAGGATGAGGTATGTGTTTGTGTATATCATACTTCATGGGTAATATGGGTACGAATGAGAGTACATGAATTTTGAAATACAAAATTTATCCCAGGATTTGAAGATTCTTTATGATGGAAAATAAATATGCATTGTCTTTAAAGACTGATGGAGTAAGGATTAAAAGCTGTTTTCCAGAGTTCCAAGAGCTAAATGCTACCAACCTCATAACCACTAATGTTTACGTGTTCTGTTTTCTCCTGGCTTGTGTTTTATGGGTTAATTTAATGTAATAAGTCATTGTTCTTTAACATTCTTTAAGTGACATACCTATATGACACTAAGAGAACCCATGGTATTTACAATAAAATTGTGACAAAATTAAAGAAAAAATGAAGTCTTTTATGATCCTTTGGAGTTCTATTAAGGAAATACTTAATAAGTACTTTAAAAAGAATACAGATTCTTCACTTTCTAATGTAATTAACTGTCCTTATTTTTAAGCTGAAGCCTGCTTATCCCTTTATCTCAGTACTTCAGCATGATAGATACCCAAAAATTACTGATACTCTTATTTATTATATAAAGCCTTAGGTTTTTTGAAATTCATGTCTTTTAATATGTTTCTAGATGATACACACGTTTTCTCGATGTGTGCTGTGCTGTGCCGAAGAAGTGGATCTTGATGAGCTTCTTGCTACAAGATTAGTTTCTTTCTTAATGGATCATCACCAGGAAATTCTTCAAGTACCCTCTTACTTACAGACTGCAGTGGATAAACATCTTGACTACTTAAGAAAGGGCTATGTATGTATTGTAAATCTTAAAATTCTCTGCATTAGTCAGTTACAAGTGGCAAATTCATCTCAAACTAGCCTAATTAAAAAGGAAGACTTTATCAGCTCACATAAACAACCTCTAAAAGTCAGGAATATAGACAGAATCTAGAGACTCAAATAGCAATAAAGCTGTTTCTGTCTTTTCATCTCTTACTTCCATTGTGCTCCTGTAGTTAACAAATGGCTCTTCCACATGACACAGGGCTTGTGGCTGATTAAAGCCTTTAAGTCACAGACTTATATTTTTAATTTAAAGGAGAAAAGAACTACCCCTTCACCTACCAATTTGACTCTGACTGGCCCAACCTAGGCTAAATACACATCCTTTACATGATTGAGGGTGAGTGCGTTGGGGACAGCGCCATACTCTGGCTCTACATAGATTGGAAGGGAACTTGTTCTTCAAAAAAGTTGAGGACAGGGCACCTGGGTGGCTCAGTCAGTTAAGTATCTGACTCTTGATTTCACCTCAGGTCATGATCTCAGGGTCGTGAGATCAAGCCCCCCCCCACCCCCCCAATCGGGCTCCATACTCTGTGTACAGCCTGCTTGTCCCTCTCCTCTGCTTCTCCTCGCGTGCTCATACTCTCTCTAGCTCTCAAATACATAGAATCTTTAAAAAAGAAAAAGAAAGGGTGAGGATAGTGGAGCTGGAATGGGAAGGAACTATTACAAGAGGGAGAGGAGGAGAATGCTGAGTAGCTAAAAACAATAGATGTCTATTATATTCAATCTTTGGCTTCCCGGCATATATATTCATGTTTCTTCCCATAGGTACCATCCGAACATTGCCGTGGCTTCTCGTAATAATCCTTACAATTTCCTTCGGTTGTCAGCAGATGCTACAGTATTTGTCCATGCTCCTACACCTCAAAAACAGTAAAGGAATACTAACACTGTGTCAGAACATTAATGTTTTAAAGTGAATTAAAACGTCACTCTATTTTTGTTGTTTTGTAGTTAAAAGAATGAAATGGGCGGTTAATGGCAATAATGATGATGGATGCCTTTACTTGATATTTATTCTGTGCTAAGCACTATATATACATTATCTCATGTAATCCCCATTTTACAGATGAGGAAACAGACTAAGAGAAGCAAAATAATTTAATGAAGGCTACAAAGCTCGTAGATTGTGGGTCTTCAGATTCTGGGATTTATCTGTTACTCTACTGCATAATACAGTAGTATATTATACAGTTTCCCCGAAGTGTTGAATGTTTGGTGGCAAATCGATACTAAATCTCATCAAAAGAACCCTCAGCAAATAGGAACATGAACAGAATTAATAGACTTGGACTATATCATTTTGTTCACAACAGATTAAAAATCCTGGAGATGGACTGATTGTTCCTTTGCCAACGTATTCATACTGTAGACAAATTAGTGCTCAGGAGTTTGATGAACAAAAAGTGTCTACCTCACAAGCTGCAATTACAGAACTTTTGGAGAATATTATTAAAAACAAGAGTTTGCCTCTAAAGGAAAAAAGGAAAAAACTAAAACAGGTAAGGGAATGAATAATTTCTCAATCATGTAAATATTTTTCAATGTGCTCTTGCTGATTGTTATTTAATAACATTTAGAATCTAATTTCTCATTTTAATGTTTTAGATTTTAGATACTATATATATAGGCCACCTGTATAACCTACCTGCCTGTCTTTACTCTTTATCCTGAATAATAAAAATAGTAATAACAGATACTCTTTCTTAACTTCTAATGATTATAGTTTAGGTTAGTTTGGGAAAACAATTAAAACATTTTGATTATAATACATAGCTTTTTACTGGCTCATTTTTACCATTTAGAATGTTTATCTCCATCAAAATCCAGTAGCAACATGAGTCTGGCAAGTTTAATTCCAGATCTGAGATACTCAAGTAGGAAATATACTAGATCATTCTGACCTTCGTAGAGGTCACCAATGGGAAGGAAGAAGATCTGGAATTTAGGAGGAGAATACATCCCAAGAGAATCCTAGACCATTAATGCTAACTTGGATCTAAGAAATCTACATTATACCTTTCATATATGAGAAAGCAAAGGGAGGGCAGGATAAATTGAAAGGATTCTCACTTCTGAAATACATGTTTGAGAAAGGCACTGAATTCTTCTAAAATGTTGAACACTGGATTTCAGCTAGGATAATAAATGTAAAAGACCCTCTAATTTCGTACCTCACTTTTAAGTTTCAGAAGGAATATCCCTTGATATATCAGAAAAGATTTCCCACCATGGAGAGTGAAGCAGTACTTTTTGCTGACAAACCTACAATCAAACAACCTATGCTAATTTTAAAAAAACCAAAGTTTCGTAGTCTAAGATACTGAATTAAAAATCATGGTGTAATACTTGTGGAACTTTGGTAAATGAAGCCATATCTAAGAATCGAGCTTCTATAAAAGAAGTCTATTTATTAATAAGGTTTTTGTAAATAAAATATATATATATATATATAAAGAGGTACCAAGGTAATTTTTTTATCAATGTAAGACTGCTAAGAAACTAATAAAACGTCTCAACTGAGAGCAAATAACAAAAGTGGTACCAGACACTTTAACCAGAAACAAACAACACCTGTAAAAGTTGTTGTGGGATGTGCCAAAATTTTACTTACTTGAATTTTAAAGACTGGCATGTTCATCAAGATTAAGCTGTAATTCTGTTTTTAAAAGAAATTAACTTTATCTGCACATGTGCTTGTGAATATTGGCTAAAATACTAGTTGTTAAGGGGTACTTTTGTTTCTAAGTATAAAAATGTGAAGAATATTGGAAAATCCAGTGAATCCTCTATGCTAAATGTTGCATTCTTTTGTATACTGTTTTTCTACTTTTGATCTATTCACATATGTGTGTGTTTTTAAGATACGTGCATGTAAGTCTTCAATTTGCTTTAAACATTTATCTCAACTGCTTCAGTCATTCAGTTTTTCAATAAATATCTTTTGCAACCTTATGTTCATGTATGTACTAGAAGATTGTGGTGTAAAAGAAGGATAAGGCAATCGTGTATTCATTCAAAAGATATTTATGTAGCAATTACTATGTGCCTTTTATTTTTCCAATATGGAGAGACAGCGTTGAATGAATCACAAAAATCTCTTCCTTTATTTATTTTCTGATCAAGGGAGATGTACCTACCGGATACTTAAAATAACAATATATCCCCTGAAATCAAGTCGGGCAAAGGCCTACAGCTGAAGCCTGATCTCCTTAGTTATGTAATAATAGTTCTCTAAGCTAATGTTTTCAAACGGTTGCATGTTAGAATCTCCTGGAAAGTTTTAAGACTATAGGCTCAGGCCCTACCTTATATCAATTAAATCCAAATTTTAAGAGATGGTGTATAGGGATCAGTATTTTTCAAACTTTCTGGGAAATTCCAATATTCAGCCAACTTTAAGAATCAGTCTCTATAAACATTTTTATAAGCATTTAAGTAAATGCCAAGCTGCTGGCACACTGGCTTTATTTCATTGGAAGAAAATGCAAATTTTAAATGCTTATCATCTTACCACAAAATTATTCATATTTCTGCTTTGCTGACCAAGTACCAACCTGAAGCAGTTTTTCTTCCATGTTTTACTCCAAGACTGTTTAATATCCATTCCTTGTGTGTAAAGACGTGTACATAGTGTCTGGAATGTAATAGACACTTGCTATTCAATAACTTGATTTCTCAATGTAATGTGCTATATAAAAATGACAGTGTTTCGTTTGTAATTACTATTTTTTTATTAAAAACCTAGACAGAAAATGGTAACTGTTCTTTTGCCCTTAGCTATAAAGTTAAAGAACCAAATTAGATCTTTTTTCAAGGTGTTTGTATAATAAAACTTTTCCTATTTAAAGATGTGTAATGGGGCGCCTAGGCGGTTCAGTCTGTTAAGGTCTAACTCTTACTTCATTCAGCTCAGGTCACGATCTCAAGGTTTTGAGATCTAGCCCCACTTCAGGCTCTGCTCTGGGTGTGAGGCCTGCTTGAGACACTCTCTCTCCCTGTCCCTCTGCCCCTACTCTCATTGTGCTGTCTTTCTCACTCTCTGTCTCTCACATAAATAAATAAATATAAATAAATACATAAATAAATAAAATTTTTTGAGTAAGGATTTGTAATGTGAATTCTGTTGCATATCGAGGTAAAAATTGTGGAATTTATAACAATTTAATTTTTGTATTTATTGATATTAAATACATAAATATGTAAAGACCTAGTAGCTTTTTATCTGCACTAACGTGCATGCAACTGAGATCACAAAAGTGATGTAACAGTTTAATAACATGAATTGTGGAGTCAGATCTGAATTTTACTGTGCTGTACTGTGTAACCTCAGACAAATTACTTAACTGCTCAGAATTCTACATTCCTTATCTATTGGTAAAGATTATACTAGCGCCTCTCTTTTAGGATTGTTGTGAGAATTAAATAGGATAGGTGATAGGTAGATGACAAAAACTCGATTGGATGCCTGGCTCATGGGGGTTAATCAGTTTAAAACAGCCTGCCAGCAAGCGCAGAAAACCCCTAGACTTAGAAACTCCCATGGCAACTCTCTCAGGTCCCCTCCCTCTTCGGGAGCCATGTACTGTGTTATTTGATAAACTTTACTGTCACTCAATAAGCCTTTTTTTGCTGCCCACCACTCTGTTTGGTCTACCTCTTCATTCTTCGAAGCATTGTGACCAAGAGCTGCGGGCACCAAAGGAAAAGGAAATCCTGCAACAGCATTTTTAATTTCTGCCTGATTCGATTTTAGTTCTTTTATTTCTAGAGTAAGGGATTCTCTAGTGTCTTCTATGCTTTTTCCCAAGCCCAGTTAGCATCTTTATAATCGTTTTAAATTCTAGTTTAGACATTTTACCTCTATCCATATTGATTTATTCCCTGGCAGTGACTACTACCTCCTGTTCTTTCTTTTGGGGTGAATTTCTCCATCTTTATGTCTGAAAAAGAACAGAAGAAAGAGAAAAGGCAATAACAACAACAACAACAGAAAAAGAAAAAAAAAAAAAAACGAGGAAAAAAAATAAGAAAAAGTCAAAACAAGAAACAAGACAGAACAAAATAATAAACTAGACCCTGGGTGTATTTTGGTCTGCTTGTTAAAAGAATCTAGGTCCCAAAATAGAGAAAGAAAAACATATATATACAATATAAAATGAAATAAAATAAAATACAATGAAAGGAAGCCAGGATGCCTAGGTGGCTCAATGGTTAAGTGTCTGCCTTCATCTCAGGGTGTGATCCTGGAGTCCCGGGATTGAGTCCCTCATCAGGCATCCTGTGGGGAGCCTGCTTCTCCTGCTGCCTGTGTCTCTGCCTCTCTCTCTGTGTGTGTCTTTCATGAATAAACAAAATCTTAAAAAAAAAAAAAAAGGGGGGAAGCCAAAAGTAAAGTATATATAGATATATAAATAAAAATTTTAAAAATTAAAAAGGAATTGAAAGAAAAAAGAAAATAGCTGAAAAAATAAAACTGGAAGACTAAAAGATCATCTTAAAAACATGAATGCTATATACTATTTCCCCCAAGAGCTAAAGTTTTGCAGTTCTCCATGATCAGTAACTGTGGTGCTAGCCATTTGTTCCTGCCAGTATTCTGGAGGTGGGGCTTGTGCTGATTCTCAGGTGCCTTTGCAGTGTAGAAATGTGCCTCCCTGGCCAGGGGCAGGGCTCAGTGTAAGTGGCTCTGGATTCTATGTGGTGTTTTGCTCCCTGAAGACTTTGCGCACCAATGGGGCAGGGGGGGGGGATGAAAATGGTGGTGCCCTCTTCTCTAGCCCTGGAGCTGAAAGTTTACACCCGCACTCTTCATTGAGCCTCACAGAAAAGTAGTCCGTCACTTTTCTCTCCCTGGTTTCCATCCAAACTGTGTTCACCCAGCCTGTGACTGAGCTCCAAATCTCCAAATTTCATAGACTCCCCCAGCTTGGACCTGCACTGTTCACAAAGCTCCACACTTTCAAAAATTCAACAAAAGCCAGCATTCAACAATGTCCAGCATCTAATAAAAAATTTCTAGACATGAGCTTTTATGCAGTCATTTCATAATAGATACAATATCGAACATTATGCTGTGTATCTGAAAGTAGTATGTCTTTTGCCAATACACTTCAATAGAAAAATAATAATAAAAAGAAAAGAAAAATTACCAGACACGCAAAGGAACAGAAAATCTATTACCCACGACCGGGGGAAAAGATCAGTTAATAGAAACATACCAGGAATGACAGAGATAATGGAATTATTTTTTTTATAATAAATTTATTTTTTATTGGTGTTCAATTTACCGACATACAGAATAGCACCCAGTGCTCATTCCCATCGAGTGCCCCCCTCAGTGCCTGTCACCCGAGATAATGGAATTAACAAACACTTTAAATAATTATCATAAATATATTGTAGAATTCAAAGGAAATAGGGAATATAGTGATAGAATGGAAGATATCAAAAAGATCCAAATAGAAGCTGTAAAGATTAAAAATACAATACCCCAAATGAAAAATCTGTGTAATGAAATTAAGAGCAAATTAGACACAGCAGAAGAAAAGGTCTGTAAACTTGAAAAACCCATAGACCCTACCCAAAATAAAGAAGAAACAAAACTGAAAAAAAATAAAAGTACAAAGCCTCAGTGAGCTGTGGGAAAGTATGACATTGAATAATGCATCCAATAGGAGCCTGGAGGGGCACAGTTGGGTTAGGGTCCAACTCTGGTTCTGGTTCAGGTCATGATCCCATTGGTCAGTTGAGGGATCCTGCCCCACGACAGTCTCCTCAGTGGGGAGTCTGCTTGAGGGTTCTCCTTCTGCCTCTCTCCCCACTTGCATGCACACACGTGTGCTTGCTCTCTGTCTCTGTCTCTCTCAAATCTTAAAAAAAAAAAAGAAAGAAAAGAAAAGAAAAAGAAAACAATCAAAATGTAGGAATGAGAAAGAGAAAGGGAGGACATAAAAATTACTGGCCACAGGTAATGGCTCCATTTTTTCTAAATGTGATAAAGATCATAAGCCCACAGAAGCTCATATAACCTCCAGCCAAAGAAACAAAACTCCACCAAGACACATCTAACCAGATTGCTGAATACTGTTGATAGAGCATCCAGAGAAAAACATTTTATACAGAAAAATAAAAGTGACAGTAGAATTCTTGCAAAAACCTGCAAACCCAGAGAACAACTGAATGGTACCATTTTAGATTGGCCACCCTGGCCGAGGGTCGGGGGCAGTTCAGCACCACAAAACTTTAGGCGGGGACTCTCAGCCCTTTCCCAGCCGCCGACGATGTTCCCTCCTTACGGGCCAGCCATCGGCTGAGCCAGCTCCACTGTTCTATTTATTTAGTGATCTTCCTGGGACTGGTCTTAGTTCTCCCCTAGGTCACATATTCCCCATATTTTGAGACAAATATTTGCACAGGAGGTTACTGGGAAGTAAACTCAAAAACACGTAGAAGAAAGTGACGGGGGTGGGATGGGGTTAAAAGAAAAACTTAAACCGCGATGCAGTTGCAACAGAGGCCTCAGCTGACCCCCGAGGGGCTCTGAAGCGGAGCTGACTCTTCAGAATTGTCCCAAACTCAGAGAAAGGGCTGGGCCTTTGTACCTTTACGTAAACCAGTCACTGCATATGGGTTGATTCTGAAGAGGAGGTATAACCTCCTCTGAATGGAGGCCTGTGCGGAACACCGAGGATCCCTAGCATTAAAACGACAAAAAAAAAAAAAAAAAAAGGCAGGCAGTGGGGAGTAAGGTGGGGGAAGGATTTGTGTTAATATGAGAGAGAGGGCAGAGCGAGGAGAGGCGGTGAAAACCAATTTTCAGTTATTTCTTTAGTGTTTACTAACTTTAACTTCTCTTGTTAAAAAAATAATGTCTGTCTGTTGTAGATGATTTGGGAATGAACGTTTAAATCACCCATAGTCTTGTCAACCAGAATCAACCCTATGAAAATCTTAGAGCTCTTTCTCCAGAACTTTACATCTCCCAGTGACTCAAAAGAAAGTAGCTCTCTTTGTCTTCTAAAACTTTTACCATTGGGCAGCCCCGGTGGCGCAGCGGTTTAGCGCCGCCTGCAGCCCAGGGCATGATCCTGGAGTCCTGGGATCGAGTCCCACGTCGGGCTCTCTGCATGGAGCCTGCTTCTCCCTCTGCCTGTGTCTCTGCTCTCTCTCTCTCTCTCTCTGCATCTCTATGAATAAATAAATAAATAAAATCTTAAAAAAAATAAATAAAACTTTTACCATTGGTTAGGATTAAAGACTGATGATGGTTTTTCCTGAAAGTTCCTGGTGAAGCTAAAACTACAGTGACTAAGACCTGCCGTTCTTGTTCACTCTGCCCAGTGTCTCAGACTTTTGTGTTTGTGGATTTTCATCAGCTTCCAGGTTACCTGGAAATTCTAAGGGCTGCATCCATCCTTGGAGTTTAGCAGGCTCCGTGTCTCCCGCGAGCTAATGAGCCGATCTGTCAAGCAGCACCTCAGGTGCAAGCGGAGTCCAGATTCCTCTCCCTCCCCTAGCTGGTCATTCTGGTGTCCCCTCCACGAGGACTTGTAATCCACCTACTGCTAGACTAGAACATCATCCAGCGTCATACTGTTTGTTCCCTTGAAAATTAAGTCTCCACATCAGGCCATAAATTGGACGGGATTACACAATTCATAAATCACCCAAGTGTTGGTTGGATCTAACTTTCGGGTTCACTGTTGGATAATTCCTAAAATGACTATCTTTTTGTTCTGTTTTTGTTTAAACTGTTAGTAAGTGTGGTGGTGGTGACACGGGCAGCAGTGCCATCTGCAGGTCTCCTCTGACGCAGCTCGTATTAGTCCCTGGGATTCTCAAAAGGGATTGGAGTCTACTGAATATTTATGGCTTTATAATGTCAAATATAAAGTGATACTAGGCATAAATTTAAGAAGCATACATTTACCGGTACAGATCCCTGCTAGGGATTTTTTAAGCCACTGAGCTGATGTCAATTGTCATATTCATATTTATCACCAAAATAATCGCCAACATAACGTACAGGACCTACAATGCACGTTGAACGAACATTAATATTTGGATCATACAGCACTGGGTTCTAATTGTGGCTCC